ATTTCAAGAATTGCAAACAGTAGTCAAATCCTCCAAGATAACCCTCCAAGGCAGTTTGAACATTATGACCAAAGATGCTGAACGCCAAGGGCCTCCCATCCATCCCAAGATTGAAATCTCGTAGGCCAGCTTGGAAAACAGCTATTCACTTAACGCCTGCCTAGTTTAACCCCGAGAATGCCTGGAGAGAGGAATGGCCCACGGTACCTTCTGGTGGCCTGACCATTAGTGATCCCTCTACCAAAGCATCTGGTTTTGACCGGCCTCCTTTGCCGGGTCAAAATTGAACAGAATTAGGTGTGATACTGGAAGAAGTTCCTTTGCTCTGTATCCTTGGGGATGGAAAGATTCCCCTTGTTGTGACTGTGGTGCTGATATGCAAACTGTTAAACGTTTCGTGCCTTTCCTAGGAACCTGTGAGCTCTGAGGGGCTGGTATACATGTACTTATTCTCCTGAGCATCAGGTGTGCATGCATGCCGCTTGAAGAAATAAGAGCTGCACAAACACACATGCTTGCCGGCCACTTGCAGGAACCATCCCCTCCCTCCTCCCTCCCACCCATCAATCCACAAAGCCAGAAACGTTGTGGAATTCTGCCCTAGAAGATCTAACACAAAGCAACCGCCAGAGGCAATCGCCATGGGGCATCCAATTATGAGGACACTGCCATGCCCCCCTTGAAGTTTTAATATAGTTATGTGGATTGTGTGGACATGCTCAGCAATAGCAATAGCACTTAGACTTATATACCACTTCACAATGCTTTCACAGCCCTCTGTAAGTGGTTTACAGAGTCAGCCTATGCCCCCCTCAACAATCTGGGTCCTCATTTTACCCACCTTAGGGAGAATCGAACTTCCTGGCTGTGAGCAGAGTTAGCCTGCAATACAGCATTCTAACCGCTGCACCAACACTCCTTCCTTCCTTCCTTCCTTCCTTCTTTCCTTCCCAAGCAATACTACTTAGACTTTTATACCACTTCACGGTGCTTTATAGACCTCTCTAAGTGGTTTACAGTCAGCATACTGCTCCTAACAATCCAAGGTTGGAAAAATGAGGATGGAAGGCTGAGTCAACCTTGAGACAGTCAGGACCGAACTCCTGGAGGTGGGCAGAATTAGCCTGCAATATTGCATTCTAACCACTGTGCCACCGGTGCCTTCCTTCCTTCCTTCCTTCCTTCCTAGACTTACACACCACTTCACAGTGCTCTACAGCCCTCTTTAAGCAGTTTATAGTGTCAGCCTCTTGCCTCCAGCAATCTAGGTCCTCATCTGACTGACCTCAGAAGGATGGAAGTCTGAAATCAACCTTGAGCCAGTCAGGATCAAACTCCTGGCAGTGAGTGAGCAGTATCAGCCTGCAATACTGCATTTTAACCACTGCGCCACCACAGCTCATTTACTCCTCTTTTGTCAGGTTCTCATCATACACTAAATAAATGAGCATGAATATCCATGGAGGAAGCATAGAGGAGAATTGCAAAAAGTGTGATGTCACAATGCAACTTATGTATCTGGCATTCATTTCAGGATAAAGGGGTTTGCCAGTTATGGTCAAAACGTTAAGAAGGTCCAGACATAAAAACTGCATCTTTGTGGCTACCATTGATTCCTTTGACCATGCCCTACAGACTACCCTTATCAAGGTACAAGTACATAGTCCGGGTTTGTATTATAACATTCAAAGCACATTTTAACACATTCCAACATCCCAGTTTGGTACCAGTTGCTAAATAAAATATCACAGACAAAACCAAACCAAACCAATAAAACTTTTCCAGAAGAAAACTAAAGAAAGAACAAAATGAAATGTTATGGCCTACTTCCTTTCAAAGTGGCTGTGTTTGGGCCAGGTGGAGCTCTAATTTGCAAAAGGGGGGATGAGGGGGGAATCACGCATGCATGCGCAGAGATGCATGGTGTGCAAGGGGGGTCATGCATGCATGCACAGGGGGCATGAGGGGGAACAGCACGCAATTATCAGCACGGGAGCCAAAAAAAGGTTAGCCACCACTGTCCTACACCATTTCAGACAAATATTTTATCCAATCTCTTCTTAAACACTTCCAGTGTTGGAGCATTCACAACTTCTAGAGGCAAGTTGTTCTACTGATTACTTGTTCTCCCTGTCAGGAAAGTCCTCCTTAGTTCTAGGTTGCTTCTCTCCTTGATCAGTTTCCACCCGTTGCTTCTTGTCTACCTGATAGACGACTCCATCAGAGAAACCCGTAACTCTAGAATCTATGTATCCCTCCAACAAAACAGCTTGGCAGCCATTGCTGGAGGTCTCGAGTTGATCCTTTCACTGTCCCAAACTGAACTGCTTCTGTTGGGGTGTTAGAAGGTCATTTCCCATAGGCGTAGAGCAAACATTAACAATGTGCGTTACAGGTGGAAGAACTCCTGCTAAGCGGTTGAGCATATTACAAAAGCATCATCCCACGGGCCACCCAGCCTGCACACCATCTAAGCATTTCAACAGCCAGCCACAGGTCTTAATTTCCTCTCCAGAAGCTGGGAAGGAGGGGGTGGGTGTAGGGGGGGGGTGTTGCAGCCCACTTCAGGGCAGAGTGATGGCCAAAACCTGCCCCTATTATACTCTGGGTTTCCTGTTGCTGCATAAATCTTTCCTCTGCAGCTGTTAAGAGGATCACGGTGTGGAGTTATTGTCAGCTCCTGACAGTCCCTAAAAATGTCACAGAGAATAGAAAGGTGAGATGAATGGTTACAGAGAAAACCCATTCAGCGGAAAGCATAGGAGAAATTATCTGCTTAATCGACCCAGGCATTTATTGACATTAATTATAGAGTAATTGTTAAGCTGAATTAAGCCAACTGTTGCTTGTCAGAGTTCTTTCGGACAAGGCGTGCCATCTGTTAAACACTTACTCAAAGGATCAGCATTTAAACAGGTCAATGCTCTTTGGGATACTTAAGAAATAATGTCAGTCTTCAAGACATTCTTGAAGTAGATCCTCTCCATCCATTTCCCTGGTTGAAAGACGGTTCCTACATCTGGCTTTTTAACAGTGCATTTTCTGCATGTTTATTTTGGGCTGGATGGAGAGCATTCCCACCAGAGAGGAAGATAGTCTTGAATTTATGATGACTGTTCCCTCAGAGGAAGCTTAAATAGGAAAAAAAAATATATCTCCCACTTGAGATTTTGAGATCTTGTGGGGTCCTTGGTGTTCTCAGAGTTTGGTTGTTTTCTGGCAGATGTTTCATTACCCAAATCAGGTAACATCTTACTTAGTTTGGTTAGTGAAATATCTGCAAAAAAACATCTAAGCTCAGAGACTGCCAAGGACCTCATAGTACTCCTCCTCCTCCTCCTCCTTCTTCTTCCTCCTCCTCCTCCTCCTCTTCCCCTTCTTCCTCTTCTCCTCTTCTTCCTCTTCTTCCTCCTCCTCCTCTACTTTTTCTTCTTCTTCCTCATCCTCTTCTTCCTTCCTCATCCTCCTCTTCCACCCCACAAACACTTCTAGCACAAATGATGTTACCTAGTTAGGTAATCAAACATCTGCAAGAAAACAACCAGAGAGCACCTCATTTCAGTCCTGAGCTACAAATGTCCTTCTTTATGATGCCATATTCTTATCAGATCTAAAAAATCTTCCTGTTTTAAAGGAGAAGGGAAGCATCATCCTCTATCTTAATTTTGAAATAAAGACACTACAGTTAGTGGAGAAGGTTTCCAATTTAAACGCATTTATCTGCCTTCCTCAATTTGTTCCAACCTGAACTATATTGCTCGATGCTAAAATATATCCTAGTAAATGGGACGTCTCAGGGTTTAGTGGTATACACAGGTTTAAGAGGCACATAGTAGGGAAGATGATCGCCATAAAAATGTAATAATAATAAAACAAATATATAAAGATGGCAGTATTGGACTATAGTGCTCAACAGACTAACTGTGGAGATTGCAGCTAGTTTTTTTTATTTTTATTTATTTATTACATTTATATGTGCGTATCACTTCCAGATTTGTTGCGGTACACTTCAATTGTCGCTGTAGAACTCCCACTTCCTAGAGACACACAAAAAGAAGCTCTCCATCGGGTTGGGTTCAAAATGCTAGACTGTAGCTCCCATAATCTTCAGTCAGTGTGAAGGACATGCCATTGGGGATAATGGGCATTGTAGTCCTACGGATCATGGAGGGGCTCAGAAGGTGAAGGATTGTGCAAAGATTTCCTTTAATTAGTTTTTAAAATAATGAAATGAATATTATTATTTTTTTCAAAAGTGTTATTGAAACAAAACATTTGTTTTTCGTTTTTTTTCAACATAGGGATATCTGGAAATCAAGCACCTGCTCTTATTTCTGAGCTGGTGGCCAAAGATTATTCTGCCAGGAAAAATATCTGGGTAAATGTAAGATTGGGGAATGGGGTGTTTTTTGTGATTAGTCCAAGAGAAGTTGCAAGGCTCTAGGCATTAGTTTTGAAATTCGACCCTGAACTCCAGGGTGAAGCAGCAAGGTCTTTCTCTCAGCCCAGATAAACCCAGGATAAGATCTGCCCAACGAAGAATACCCACCAAGGTCAACGAGACTGAGCTGAGGACAACCGCCCCGAGATTTCCACCTCTGGATAAGTATAACCTGACCTCCCACCGTCCCACCCAACTGGAGGGTGCGCACTTGGGGAAAGCTGAAGTAGGCCCCCCGGGAGGTCTTCCCTTTCAGTCCGAAGGAAAATGCGCACCTGACCGTCCCCAGTGCTTTGACTACAAACACTACTGCCGGTAGTAGCGCTGCCTCCAGGACCATCCCTTGTTAGAGCATCCCGCGCAAGAAAAGGAGGCAGGGAGGCAGGGAGGGACGAGCTGGCCCGAAGCGCACGGCGGAGGTCATGGGGGGGGGGTGGCTTGTTGGGTGGAGAAGCCCACGAGGCGTATCTCGGGTCCGGAGGCACCAATCCCCAGCGAGGAGGGCTCGCCTCCTCTCCGCCCAGCTACATAAGCGACCCTCCCGACGTGCGGGGGTGGGGTTGGGGGGGAACCTCAGCGGACAAGCGTGCCAAACTTTGCGCGGAGCGCCCGGGGCTGATGGAGAGCGACCGGCAGCGCCTTTCCTCCAGCGCTCGCCCGCCGCGGCTGCCGCTGCCCGCAGATGGGGGCGACGGGGCCGTCGTGGGGCCCCCTCCCAAGCCATTGACTTCGTTTCTCATCCAGGACATCCTGCGCAAGAGCGAGGCGGGGGAGGCTTCCAGCGCGGAGCCCCAGGCAGGAAAGGCACCGCGCCCGCCTCGCCCCGACGGTGCTTCTCCCGGGGAGACCGGCCCGAGCGATCTCAGCCTTCTCGGAGCCCCCCGAGCCTCCGAAACGGATGCAACAGGTAAGGTGAACTCTTGGGGTTCTCGCAAAAGTGCCGGGTTCTCACGACATCCTGAGCACGACTCTGCCACTCGGGATCCCTGCCTCTACTTCCCCCGCGGCCGGTTGAATGGATGCCAAAAAAAAAGAAGAAAACGGGGCCTGGGAGCATCTTTTCCGACTAATCCTTTCGACCAAAACGTATCACCTGTTGTGCCTTCTGGTTTTCTTGTCATCCCGTTCTCACACAAGCGTCCTTCTACATTGTCTCAGAACTTAACTGTGTTGGCAGGGGTCCCGCAGCCAAAACCATAAACTTAGCATGAAATTCAGAGAACCCAAATACCCCAAACTTAATGCCTGGTGCAAAAGTGGTTTCTATGTTGTATAGAACATCAGCTAATAGATGTTGGAAGGGACCTTGGAGCTCTTCTAGTCCAGAGGTCTCCAACCTTAGTAACTTTAAGACTTATGGACTTCAACTTGTGGACAGCTTTGCTGGGTGAGGAATTCTGGGAGTTGAAGTCCACAAGTCTTAAAGTTGCCAAGGTTGGAGACCCCTGTTCTAGTCCAACCCACTGCTTAAACAGGAAACTCTATTCCAAGGGTCTTCAAACTTGGCAAGTTTAAGACTTATGGACTTCAACTCCCAGAATTCCTGAGCTAACATGACTGGAGGAGGAATTCTGGGAGTTGAAGTCCACAAGTCTTAAAGCTGTCAAGTTTGAAGGCCCCTGCCTTATACCACTTCAGGCAACTGGTTGTCCAATCTCTTCTTAAAAACTTCCAGTGTTGGAGCATTCACAACTTCTGGAGGCAAGTTGTTCCATTGATTAATTGTTCTCACTGTCAGTAAATTTCTCCTTAGTTCTAGGCTGCTTCTCTCCTTGATTTGCTACCACCCATTGCTTCTTGTCCTGCCATCAGGTGCTTTGGAGAATAGTTTGACTCCCTCTTCTTTGTGGCAGCTCTTGAGATATTGGAACACTGCTATCATGTCACCCCTAGATCCCTAGATAAGTAATAGAGGAAATTGAAATCAAACTCTTTTCAAGATTGCTGGAAAGTTGAGGTGACTTCTTATTTCTCCGCCTCTCTTGTAGGTTTGTGTGTTGGGGATGATAAATATGTCCAGAGGAGCCATTGTACTCTCTTTAGAGAAAAGGGTCCCATTGTGAAATGTTGCATGTGGAGTATACATGCACAGATCTAAAGAATCCTCTCTGGTCAAAAAAAAAGTAGATGTTTCACGTTCCTTTAATTGTACTATCTTGGCTGCTATTTGTATTTAATTTCTTTTTCTTTTTTTGTATTGAGTTTTCATTGTTTTATGATTGTTGGTTGATGATGGTTTGCGATAGGCAGCTATATAAATTAAATACATTCATACAAAGGTGAAGGAATAGAGGCCAATGTTGTTAGACTTCAAACTGCATTTATGGAAACTCTTTCCTGTTTGCCAAATAGTTCTCCAAATTTAAAATAATAATAATAAAAAAAAACAGCAAAAGATCCACTAGCAAACTTTGCTGACAAATTCTTAACTTCTCCTGTACTGCTGCATAGATATTTTTACAAAATATAGGTATTAAGTAATCAATATTTTTCCACATTTTCAATTTGAATCATACTAGCAGTAAAGTCATGGAAAATGAATCTATCAAAGAAAGGGAATCATAATGGTTTAAATTTACATCCATGTCTAGATAAAAACACTCGTGTGTTGGAAGTGCAACTCCTGTCAACTCCTTTTCTTTGTAACTCTTTCTTCTGTTTTGTCTCTTTGCAAACTAGCCCATGAGCCTGAGATTTTCTTTCTTTTTTTTTCAAATAAGTTTTTTTTTAATTTTTCAATATAAACATACATATTTTGTGAACATTGCATTGACTGGGTCACCTCTTTTTTAAGCAACAGTAATAATAATATTACAAATATGTATGTGTAATTGTAATCTTCCAACTTCCACAACTTCAACAATGCTACTCTCTTTTCATAATCCATTTCACATTTTCCCATTAATTCATTCATTTAAACATAAATAACATTTCTTTGCGCCCTCTATTTATAGTCCCTAAATACTATTATTTAACATTTTTTGAGAATTATTCATAGTTCCACCATAACTTCAATATTCCAAATGTGTAGGGTTAAATAATAATGCCAAATATTAACAATATTTAATCAATCCCGAAAGTGTATCTCAAAATCTCACACAATTTCTAATCCTTATTATTCTAAATTCATAATATATTTTAACACACTATTAATATTAATAATACAGTTTAATTACCTAATCCTAAATTCCCATCTACTGTCTTGATTTATTTGGATTATATTATTAAATTATATTTTCTCTTAGTGTATATACTACTATTTTCCCTGTATATATTTTCCCATTTTATTGAGATTTTCTGATGGTTTCTCATCCAACCATTAACTGCCCAACCTTGTTTAGCTGTTGACAAGATTTGCGAGATCCTAATCAACATTATAATAGAACATAAAATCATAGGGCTGAAAGAGATCTCAGAGGTCCAAACCTTTGCTCAAGGTAGGAGACCTTATAGCAAGGGTGTCCAACCTTGGCAACTTTAAGACTTGTGGACTTCAACTCCCAGAATTCCTCAGCCAGCTGGCTGGGGAATTCTGGGAGTTGAAGTCCACAAGTCTTAAAGTTTGCTGGCTGGGGAATTCTGGGAGTTGAAGTCCACAAGTCTTAAAGTTGCCAAGGTTGGACACCCCTGCCTTATAGCATCCCAGTCAAATGGTTATCAGGTATATTTCTGAAAACTTCCAGTGACAGAGGACCCACAACTCTGAGAGGAAAGGAGTTCCATTGATTAATTGTTCTCACTGTCAGAAAATTTTCCATGATTTAGCAACTTCTTCTCACACAACTGCACCAGAAGTGCTCGTATTATTCAAACTGATAGTGTGAAAAAATATGTATTACCTTGTGAAAGACTTATACAACAGTACAGCAGAAGATAATAATTTTTTTTACACACTTTACTGCAGCGTGGACTAAACAATTGTGTTTATTCACAGCTTAGTATTCACTTTGCACTAGGCCAGTGGTGGCTAACCTTTTTGGGCTCCTGTGCCAAAAATTGTGCGCTCATTAGCTCACACGCACTTGCGTGCCAGCACCCAGAATGCAATGTGCACACCCCCCATGCCTCCTACGTATGCGCATGCAACCCCCCTGCCAACCCCCACTGCTACCCCCTTACCTGCACTGCGCCTCACAGCTGATTTTTCGGCTGGTTTGGGGCCTTTTTCGGCCTCCCAGAGGCTTGGAAAAAGCCTCTGCAAGGCTTTTCGGGATGATTAATAAGCCCATTTCGTCACTTCCGGTATTACAGGAAGTGACCAAACGTGCCTATTAATCCTGAAAAGCCTTTCTGAGGCTTTTTCCAAGCCTCAGGAAGGCTGGAAAAGGCCTCAAACCAGCCGAAAAATCAGCTGTGAGGCACTCACATGCCCAACGAGGTATGTTTGCCTGAGGCTTGCATGCCAGAACAAATGGCTCTGTGTGCCACTTGTAGCATGCATGATATAGGTTCGCCATCATGGCACTAGGCCATCATTTACCCATGGTTTGCTGCTCAATAAAACCCCTTTGCCCAGCATGCTAAATTAACCCAACGGTATTATGGTATGGCACTCAAGGGGAAACGCCAGTATTCGTCAGTTTATTCCATCTTTGTGTCTTGAATGATGTCAAGTGAAACTGTCTGCCCTCTTCTGAAGAGCCATTGCTGAAGTTGTACCCATCTTTTCCCCATCTGCTAGATCCAGACATCCATCAGCCAAACTGTGAGCCTTCCTCCAAGCCCTTTATGAGAACCCCCAAGCAGCTGAAGCGTTCACGGGCCGCTTTCTCCCACAGCCAGGTCATTGAGCTTGAACGGAAGTTCAGCCACCAGAAATACCTCTCTGCTCCTGAACGAGCCCATCTTGCCAAGAACCTGAAGCTCACCGAAACCCAAGTGAAGATCTGGTTCCAGAACAGAAGATATAAGACCAAGAGGAAACAACTGGCCTCTGAGCTTGGAGAACTGGACAAGAACTCGCCTCTCCCACTCTTCAGAGAGAACAATTTCTCTAGGGCTACCCTAGCACTTTCTGTATACCACACCTATCAGTACAATCCCTATTTATGTTATCTGAACGGTTGGAGCCCAATCTTTTGGTAAATAACACTGTCAGTAATCCAGGTCTCTCGGGGGTTTGTATGTCTTCATCCACCTCGCACTCCACACTAACTTTGCTACCATGAAATCGATTGCCCAGGTAGACTTTGCAGAGCAATTTGGTCAATCTGTTTCCTCAGCCATTTCTCGAGTTGCTGCCAAGTGTCCTCACTATCCATGCTGAGGGATTATCCAAAGAACACTCATGAATGCCGTAATGTGATTCTCTCTATTTTCTCAATGCTAGGCAATCACATACACCCATTCAACATATGTAGTGACAGAATTATGGCCCCCTGATTGATGCATTAAAACGTGGAGGCCCCAAAGCACCACTTTCCAGAATAAGCTAATAACTCTGGAGTGTGATAATAACAAAGACACGAGGTTTCGGCCTTAGTCAGTGAGGCAGAATCGGACAACACAGAAGTTTTATCAGTCTTTTAGACCTGGAACCTCCATCTTAAATGCAATTTGGCACATAACAGGGATGTCAAACCCCATTTCATTGAGGACCGCATCAGGGTTGTGTTTACCTCGAGGGGGCAGGGGGAGTGGCCAGGGTGGGTGTGGCCAGTTCAACATCTGTCTTTGGCTGCAATGGCGTCCTGCAGCCCTCCACCAGCGAAAACAGTGCTCAGAACAAGGGCAAGCTCCATTTTTGCTGGCAGAGGGCTGCAGGAGGCCATCGCAGACAAAAATGGAGCTCGGGAAGGCCATGGAGCTCCATTTTTGCTGACAGAAGCACCATGGGCCAGCCCTTCAGTGTTTCCAGGGTGGCCCTATTGGCCAGATCTGGCTCATGGGCCTTGAGTTTGGCCCCCGTGGCATAAAAGCATTCACTCCCTTTGAAATTGAATCATTTTCAGTGGATATGCTTTTGTTAAGCACCATCTGAAAGAGTAACATGATGGCAGAGAATGGGTTGGAAAATGCTGACTGGGTTCTCATGTCATACAATGTAGTTAGTTTGGTTTCAATATGGGGTTCAGCAAAAGGTATTTTTCAGGTTGAGTAGGCTGCCTTCCCATTGTGACATCCACTACAGTCCTCTGGGGTCTCAAATTGTGCATCCCTGATTTCACATATTGGATGAACTGTTAAGATGTAGAAGTCCTTATAGGTAATCTCTTGTAAAATGTGAATCTAGACCAGAGGTCTCCAAACTTGGCAACTTTAAGACTTGTGGACTCCAACTCCCAGGATAGCTGGCTGGAAAATTCTGGGAGTGGAAGTCCACTAGTCTTAAAGTTGCCAAGTTGGGGGACCCATGCTCTAAATAAACATCTTTTGGGGTGCAAAGCAGAGTCTGCATCTCATTTTAATTCCAAGCAGGAAGAAATGGGATTCAGCTTTTAAAAGGTGATGGAAATAGTGAAAGGAACATTATTCCTCCTAGTTGCTGGATTAAGGTGAGCAATCTTCTTTACTTTGAGCCCAATGACTTAATTTTCCAGCTTGAATAGCACTGCTTCAGTAATTATTGTGAGGAATGAGTTGAAGAAAGTTGGAAGTTCTCTTTGTGCATTATTAATTTACTTATGGGAATACAGACGGCTTGTATTCAATTTCATAGTGCTTCAGGGATTGATAAAAAGACATTCCAAAGCCACATAGAATCACTTAATAAGTTAGGGGCCCACTGAGACCATCAAGTCCAATTTTTTGCTCAGATTCAAATATCTTTGATTGAGCTGCCAGGAACATAACCTTAATTATTATGTCTACTGCCCAATGACTCTTATTAGGAGGAGGTTTTTTCTTAATAATTTACTGGAATTTTCCTTCTTAAAAGCTGAAAAACCATCCTTCCATGCTTTGCCTTAAGATGCTGCCAAATGCAATCACTTTATCTCATTCATGGATTGTATAGCAGATCCAGATGATAATATATTCCACCTGAAATTCTCTTCCTTTCACTGATTGCTTTTTTTTTCATGTCATGCTTTTGAACCACAATACAAACTCAAATTCAGCTATCCATTAAAAAAACAACAACCCAATTTTCTGAGTTTTGCTGTGCAATTTGTCAAGCTTAAAAGCAAATCTATTAGAACATCTGCATCAAAGTGCACATACTGTACTGCCATAAGTAATTTGCAGAAATTATATTAGGCATAATAGTCACAAAAACAACGACCACAAGACAAAATTGCAAAGGAAAAAAATGCGTATGATTGAAGCTCCAATCAAATCATTTCAAATCTCCATTACGGTCATAGACCAACATAGTGTGAGTGAAGAAACAGGTATAAAAATAGCACATAAATTTAAATGTAAACAGGAAAAAAAAACATAGAACATAGAATAATAAGGTTGGAAGGGTCCTTGGAGGTCTTTTAATCCAGCCTCATTCCCATGTCTGGAAACCCTATTCCATTCCAGATAAATGTCTGTCCAATCTCTACTTAAAAGCCTCCACTGATGGAACTTCTGAAGGAAAGCTTTTCCACTGATCAATTGTTCTCGGGAAATTATCCTTAGTTCTAAGTTGGATCTTGATAAGTTTCCATCCGTTGCTTTTTGTCCTGCCTTCAGGTGCTTTGGAGAATAAGTCAACCCCTTCATCTCTGTGACTGTCCCACAAGTACCAAAAGACTGCTACTCTTATCACCCCTCAACTATCATCAACTATATCAAATATCATTAGCTACTCTAGTTCAAGAATGCAATGAATCAAACCGATGAGAGGTGACTGAGAAACCTAAAGTGACAGATATCACCCATCACTACCACTGCCACTCAAAGGACAAACATCGTGAAAATAATCTCCAGCTACACATTCGGGAAAGGAGGGAGGTGAAGGAAAAACCCGTCTTTTCAAAGGAAAAAGATGCGGGGCAGTGATGGGATTCAAAAAATTTTTACTACTGGTTCTGTGGGCGTGGCTTGGTAGGCGTGGCAGGGAAAGGATACTGTAAAATCTCCAGTCAGAGGTGGTATTTGCCAGTGATATTTGCCAGTCAGAGGTGATATTTGCAAGTACTGACCATTTCTAGAGAATTGGTACCTGCTGAATACCGTCTCTGATGCAGGGAGTTTTAAACATGTCTCCTTGCATGTTGATATGAGTCTTAAACACGGGTATTCTTAGATCAGGGCTATTCTACAGCCTTAATTTTTAAAAAAAATTAAATGGGTTGGAAATATTAGAAATCCTACCCACTACTCAAAAGAGGGCCACCAGGAGTTGGAAACAAGCCATCAATTTTCTATTGGATTGTTAACACGAAAAAGTATGAGCCAGCAGTATGCAGCAGCTGCCAAAAAAGCTAATGCAATCCTAAATTGCATCAACAGAGGGATACAGTCAAAATCAAGTGAGGTACTAATAAAGCCTTAGTAAGACCACACCTTGAATACTACATCCAGTTTTGGTCACCACACTATAAAAAAGATGTTGAGACTCCAGAAAAAGTGCAGAGAAGAGCAACCATGAGGATGAGGGGCCTGGAGGCTTAAAACATATGAAGAACGGTTGCAGGAACTGGGCTTGGCTGGTCTAAGGAAGAGAAGGACCAGGGGAGACAGGATAGCAGTCTTCCAATATTTGAGGGGCTGCCACACAGAGGAAGGGATCAAGCTATTTTCTAAAGCACCAAAGGCCAGACAAGGAATAATGGATGGAAACTGAACAAGGAGAGATTTAACCTGGAAACAAGGAGAAACTTTCTGACAGTGAGAACAATCAACCAATGGAACAGCTTGCCCTTGGAAGTTGTGGGAACACCATCACTTGAGACCTTCAAGAAGAGATTGGACTGCCATTTGTCAGAAATGGTGTAGGGTGTCCCACTTGGGTGGGTGCGGTTGGACTAGATGACCTACAAGGTCCCTTCCAACTCTGATTATCTGTTAAATCTGTCTTTTGTTAAGGTACAATCCATTCATAGGAGAAGATTTGTTTTTCTGCAACTACTTCTGCCAAAGATTAGGAGGGGGAGGTAGGGAAAAACTACCCTTGAAAGGTACTAGAAGGGTATTTGCCCCTACAGAGGAAGATGAATATAGTCTCATAAAATATTAGAAACTGGCAATCTTTAGTTCTACTATCCCAGCACATTGTTTTCTTATCAAAATCTGAATTTTGTGGTGCATTGATAGAATGTAGGTACAGAATGTCTTATAATAGTGTTCTCCTTAACAATGTCTCTGGAAGCAAATTTGATCTCTCCCAGTGTGAGAAACACCCCAAACACTGCTTTTCTGTCCCAGTATTACAGACAAGGTACCGTACACTAGTGGTACAATTCAACTGGTGTAAGAACCAGTTCACTCCGCACGCATGCTCTACATTTTAAAAAGCCCGTTTTCAACTCAATTACTTACCTTCTGCTGCATCCCTGGTGAGTAAAACAGATGATACGTGGCAAAGCCACCCTGCCACGCGAATCAGCTGTGCTAAAAAAACCAGGAAATACAGCACAGGAAAGATCAGGGGTGAGTAGGCGAGGCCAAATGCTCTCCGGAACGACCGGATCGTCTCAACCAGTCCAAACCAGTAGAATCCCACCCCTGGCATAGACACAGGTTTAGTTATTTCATTATTTATTTGTATCACCCCACTTTATTATGTTTACAAATAACTCAAGGGGGTGAACATATCCAACACAACTTCCTCCTCCTCTTTTCCCTACAACAACAATCCTGTGAGGTGGGTTCGATTGAGAGAGTGTGATTGGCCCAAAATGACCCAGCTGGCTTTCATTGCTAAGCAAGATTTGAACTTACGGCCTTCTACTTTTTACCCTGGTGCCTGAACTGCTAGGCAGGTTGATCTATTTTTTTGTTTTTTGGTCTGGTGTCCTTTTCAATATTAAATAAAACTTTTAATATAGGACAACTTTTTCTCTTTGGTTTATTTAAATCATATTAGAATGATGCTTATTGTTTATTTTTCAATTTGCCTGTATCAATATTTATCAGTCAGTGACCATAAATATATCGAATGGAATTCAGTTGAAAACTGTTTTTTGAACCAATGAAGATGTCGATGGAGATTCCCAGTCATTCAGGTCGTGGTTGTCCCAAAGGTGCTTTTTCAAAAGTATTTGGACTTTGCTTTTCCTTGAAGACGTTTTGCTTCTCATCCAAGAAGCTTCTTCATTTCAGAATGATTCAGAACTAAACCCTTCTACCCTCCACCATTCAGTCAGAAATGAAGAAACTTCTTGGATGAGAAGTGAAACGTCTTAAAGGAAAAACAAAGTCCAGTTGCCTTTTGAAAAAAGCACTTTTGGGAGATCCAAGGAAGAGTTTCTTCTTTCTCTCTACCATTGTAAGTCAACCTAGTCCTCAGCTCCTTATCATGTCAAGCTACTCAAATTTGATGCAGGCAATCCAGCACATGAGAAAACTAATTATTATCCTTTTGATCAGACTACTACAGGAGGCCACTTCATTTGGCTACTCTACAAACATTTCTTCAAGTGTTGCCAATTAACTCAAGTGCATTACGAGTTCTTGGATTACTAATTTGCCATTTGTTCACCAAACAATCTAAATTAATGTGCATACTTTAAAAAAAATCAGCAGGTCAAGATGTG